AGCAGCCGCAGCCGAAGACGACAGCCCCTCCGGGCCGCCCTGCTGCTGGTCGATGGTCAGCCTGTCGCTGCTGGAGCAGATCCTGCTCTGTCTGCGCTCCGAGGCGGCCGAGTTCCTCCAGTTTGTGCCCTTCTCCAGCCTGGACGCCGTCGTGCGGGCCACCTACGACGTGCTTACCTTTGAGCAGCTCCTGGCCTACCTCTGTCTGGAGGGCAGTGGGCGGGCGAGGAAGGCCGCCGCCCGCCTCCTCTGTCAGCTGCAGATGTCCAAGGGACATGGCATGTGAACTACTGCTACTTATTCTGCTTCTTTTACTATTTGCATGCCTACCATACTTTGTGGTGGAGTTTATCATTATCTCTAGATCTTGCCTCATTTTTTGAGGAGTTTGTGAATGTGTTTATTATATTTTGTATATTGGTAGTATTTTACATTTGAAATTATAATATGATGATTTCTCTACGCACAGAACCTTCTTTGGAACGATCGTTTCGAAAAAGAGAGATAGAGAAGTGGGAGAGGGGAAAAAGGGATTGGGAGAAAGTGCTGCTTCTGCTGATGATGCTGCTGTTCGCAGTGCTGTTGCTGGTGAAGACGTCGTGAAGGTCAAAGAAGAAGAAGAAGAAAACAAAGAGGATGAAGAAGAGGATGAGGGGGCGATGAGGGTGATCATTCAAAGATGAAGATGATGAATGGAAGTTGTGACATTAACACTTAGGTTNAAGAAGAAGAAGAAGAAAACAAAGAGGATGAAGAAGAGGATGAGGGGGCGATGAGGGTGATCATTCAAAGATGAAGATGATGAATGGAAGTTGTGACATTAACACTTAGGTTGAAGAAAATTTAAAAGCGCGGGAAAGAAGAAATACTTTTTTCGTCTTTTGAAAAGATTTTTTAAACTTTTTTTGTGTTGCATTTTACTTTCTGGTTTTGTACTTTCAAGTTCAACTACATTTCAGGGTTACACACAAATGAGACTTTCTTCTTCCTTTGCTTCTTCTTCTTTGAAGACTTGTCACCTCAACACTGAGGAAACAAACAAACAAACGAACAAACAACAGAAAAGCGCACATATGCTCAACATCATCATCGTCTCATCATCAATCGATCAATCAATTAATTGTAATTATGTATAAATCAATTATAATATATCATAGTGTATATATTTTTTATCAATTGAAATATGGCCTAGGTAGTGAATGAGAAGGTGATGATGAAGAAGAAGAAAAAGGTACTTTTATCAGACAGGTTAAAGTTGTCAAAATAAAGTCGTTCAGTCAGTCGGTCACCTCGCTCTCACTCAATCTCTTACTTTTCAATCTCGGAGTCAGAGTTTAGAGCAGTGTTGAAAAGTGTGGTCGACAGAGAGAGTTTCAAAGAGAGGGATGAGCCAAAGAGGAAGGAAAAAAATAGCGTTTATAAACATTTGTTGTTGTATATCACATTTGAGATATTGCGCGCAAAAGTTCAAAAAGAAAAAAAGGAAGAAAAGTTTCGAGGAGAGTGAGAGAGAGAAAAGATTGAAAAAAGGAAAGGGAGAGAAAAGAGGTTTGAGTTTGAGTGAATTTTTTTAGAGAAAAAAAGTATAATGTTGATGAAGGTGGTGGTGGTGATTTGACAGAAAAGGTGACACTCTTTTTGTGGTTGTAAAAAAATCATAATCAGCCGGAGTTCACACCTCTACCACCTACCACTACTACTACTACTACTTCAGCAGTGTGTAAGTATAAAGGAATCAGGAAGAGGATGATGAACGAGTACGAAACTCAAAACAGTCGAAACATGACGACGACGACGCAGTGGTGTGCAGAGATGTTCGAAAACGTTGTGAGGGGGGTTGTGGAAGGTTCTCTCACCTCGCGCACACACGCACAGTGTTATTGTTCACAGTGGACGCAGGTAGTAGTAGTAAATGGTGGTAAGGTGTTGGTGTTTTTTTGCTCACTTCTTTCGCTTCTTCTCCGGCGGCGAGTGCGAGCTGTTGCTGGAGTAGGCGCTGTCCGGGCTGAAGGTGGACAGAATCTGCTGGCTAAAGTCGAGGTTGCTGCTGGTGCTGGTGGTGGTGGTGTTTGCGATTCCACCGCCGTGGCCGCAGTAGCCCCGATTACCACTCAAGTCGGGCATGCTTCCACCGCCGTTGTTGTTGTTGTAGACATTGGCGACATTGAAGGTGCGATTGCCCTGGTGGTGGTGGTTGTGACCGCGAGTCAGACTACTGCTGTTCGAAATGCTGGTGTTGGGCACCCCTGAGCTGTTTCCGGAGTAGCTGAAGTTGTTGTTGCCGCGGTAGTGACTTCCACCGCCATTACCGCCGCTGCTGTTGAACTGAGCATAAGCAGCCGAAGAGGAGGAGGACATCATCGCATTGTGAGGTCGCTTCTGCTGATGTTGGTGCTGTGAAGACTGGTGGTAGTGATTCGGTTGCTGCTGGTGTTGATGCTGCTGCTGCGAGGACTGGTGGTAGTGATTCGGCTGATGCTGATATTGGTGCTGACTTTGTTGCTGCTGATGTTGGTGTGGCTTGGCCGACTGCTGCTGGAGCTGCGGCTGCTGTTTGGGCGGCTGCGGCGGCGGCGGAAAGACCACCTTGTTATCACTGAGCAGCGTCTTGACCAGGTCGGAGTCGCGCGCCAGGCGCTCCTTGATCTCGTCGCCCACCTTCGTCACCAGGTGCACGTCCTCCGCCACGGCGCCCTTCACGCGATTGGTCCAGCCGTCGGGCAGCTGAGGTTGGTCGTAGTTGTTGAGGTTGAAGTTAAGGGAATTAGTGGCAGGGAGTGGACGAGGTTTGGTGTTTAATTAAAAACAGTTTTACTCTCTCCAGGCAAGGGAAGGGGAAGTGGGAAGGGAAGTGGGAGCTAGGGATCAACGGGTGCAACTTACGACAGTGCCGTGGTAGAGCGAGGCGAGGAAGATGGCGACGCAGGCGAGAATGTGCGAGGGGTACTGCACGCAGAGCATCGTCAGGCGGTTCATCTCGCTGGCGATCTTGTAGGCATTGCTGTACATCGCCTTGGAGAAGCCGGTGATGGGCGTCTGCGAGGACGACTCGACGATCAGCACCTGAAAGTGGCGCACGCCGAGGCCGTCAAAGCCGAGCACCTGCAGCAGCTGGTTCTCGTCGCGAATCAGGCGGTCGCAGTTCTCCTCGTACTCCTAAAAAGGGGGAAAGAATGGAAAAGAAAGACAGACAGTTTTAGTCCCTGGTTCTATTTAAGTACATGGTTCCTCATTCTCCCCAAACCTTGTCCTTCTTCGTCAGGTCCTTTCGGGTGGTCAGCAGCTGGTAGATGCGCACCATGTGCTCCTTGAAGGCAGGGTGGTCCTCGTACTTCGAGGCGAGGTAGACGCAGGCGAGGCCCACCCGACTGGCATCACAGCTCTTGAAGGAGCGCAGCATGAAGAAGCGGTGGAAGTAGATGTAGGCGGTCTCCTTGCAGATCGGCTTCAGCTTGAGCGAGCTCACAGTCTGGCGGATGAAGCTGGTGCCCCGGAGGCGGTGGTGCATCTCCTGCACGTAGGAGATGCCGTCGCGGCGCGAGGGCGTCCCGCTGCGGATGTACTCGCTGCTGCAGGTCCACTCGGAGTTGAAGGGCGAGGACAGCTGCATCTTCGCTGGTAGCTGTGGTGACGGGGTGGCTGCTGCTGCTGAGGTTGATGGCGCTGATGGCGGCGGCAGCGTTTTGACGGTGCTGTTGTTGGTGTGTGTGTGGTGGGGGTGGTGGTGGTGGTGGTTGTAGGCGCCTGGTCGGACCGAGGCCGACGAGGAGGTCGACGATGAGGTGGACGACATCATCATCGTTGGGAGCAGGAGCAGCAGCAGCTACACTCCTGTCGCAAGACACACAGTGCAAACACAGGCAAGAGGTTCCCTTCGACGAGCTCTCGGGCACCTTCTCACCTACTCCTCCTCCGCCACCGAGGTCCGCTGGTCCGCCTCCACGCGCCTCTTCCACACCTGGTACTTCTTCTTCTCCTCGATGCGGCGGTGGTGGTGGTCCTGGTGGTTTTCGGACTTCGGTCGACAGAAAAGGTAGTGGGCTGCTGCTGCTGCTGCTGTGGAGGCTGCGGCTATCGCCGTCGGTGGTGGCGCCGGCAGTGCTGCGGCTCTCTACCGATCCTCAGCAGGTGATGGTGATGGCGGTGATCTTCAGTGACAGGGATGGGATGGCCTGGTGGTGGTGGTGGTGGTGATTCGGGGGTGAAAGATCGTCTAAAAGATTGGGAAATAGAACCCAAGAGGCGAGATGTAGAAGCAGGGAGCCAGCCAGCCAGTGGACAATAACAACGCAATCCGTGAGCAGCAGCGAGCAACGGTGCAGCGAGCAGCGTGCGCCTTCCAGAAAGTACGATCCGGTGAGTCTTCGGACGGCACTGTGCGCTGTGCTCCTCTAACTAAAAGTGAGCGAGAGAGTGACCACGTAGAAGGCGCAAGCTTGCACAGTGTGTGCACGATTGCCTGACTGACCGACCTCGTTGATCCTGGAACACACGCTTGGAACGCTCTCTTGGGACACCTAGAAATGCAGTACCTGCCTAAAAGGTTACCCAGAGAAGGCTGTTGCCCTCGGTGGACTGGGTTTTCCCCCTAAAGAACTAGCCATTTCGAATTGTTTGCTTTGGAAAAGTTTTAGAGCTCTCGAGCTCTGAGCGCTTTGTTCTGCGCGGCTTTGTTGTGTTCTGCGCCGATGATGACGCATTTTCCGCTCGCTTTTTTCTCTTTTTTGAAGACGGTGGCGCCTTCTGTTGAGCTAAACTAAAGCTTTAGGGCAGACCTTTCTGCGCAGGCGCGTGTTTGGGTTTTGCCAGGGCGCACGTTTGCGCGAAAAGTCAACGGCTTTGGGCATTTCGAAACCCTAAAAGATCTCCCGACAAGATCTTCATCATGGGCTTCGAATTTGCCGTCCCAGCTCCTCCTCNACGGCTTTGGGCATTTCGAAACCCGGAAAACTCTCAACAAGATCTTCATCATGGGCTTCGAATTTGCCGTCCCAGCACCTCCTCCGCCTCTTCAAGAGAATGCTCCAACGAAGCTAGTCAACCGGAGACTGCTGACCAGGCTGGGCCTCAACGATTACCTCGAACGCTCGGTCCCTAATCTGCCAAAAACGGCGGCAAAGTTTTCGTCGGAAACGCAAGTGAACAGCCGTCTTCAGGCACTTCGGTCCATCCTCGCCGTGGTGACCGGCACCGAGTCGGCACTCTTTCCTTTAGAGGATGGCCGCTTCGATGTCGCCTCCGCCAGCTCAGCTTTTAAATCCTCACTGAAGCACTACGCCGAAGTGGGCACCCAGTTCCGGGCCATGCTCGACTTCACCGACCCGGAAGCTGATGAGCAGTACGCCTCTCGGGGCCGCACCTTTGGAGCCTTTCGGGTCGCCCTTCGCGCCACCCTTCACCAGCTGCTCGGACAAACGGTGGACTTCCTGGAGAGGCGGTACGCCTTCAGGCAACGGCTGACCGTTTCCGAAGCTAGAGCCATTGAAGCGAAAATCTCCCTTTTAGAGGTGGAGTTTCTCTTTGAAGAGGACGAAGAAGAAGAAGAAGAAGAAAATTCCTTTTCGAACCTTCTCCTCACCATCCGCCACCTGCACGCCATCTTCCTGAGGGTGACCGTCCAGCAGAGCTTTGAGTGGCCGCGCCTCTACGCCCACCAAACGCTGCAAGCAATTGCGGAACGTCTCACCTCGACGCCCCAACGTCGCCTGCGCTCGGTGCTTTTCACACTGCTGGAGCACTGCCTGGGGCCGCTTTTCACCTCGCTGGAGTACCTCCTGACGGAATGGACCTCGATGGAGGAGCTCACAACCGCTTCCGCCGCCTCGGAGTGCCTGCTCGCCAGTCGCTTCGAGACGGACGAGGAGCTCTTTTCTGAGCAGGAGCAGTTCTCTTACGGACCCACCGAGCTGACGACCTTCTGGGCGGACTTTCTCCACCTCGACGAGAAGACCTTCTTCGTCGAAACAAGTGGAGGAAAAGGAGGAGGAGGCCGCCTCTTTGGCGACGGCTTCCAGGCGCTCATCGAGGCGATCAAGGCGAGCTTTGTCTTTCGCCTAAATGGTCTTCAGCAAGCTATACCAACAATTGCACCGGGCGCCCTCGCCGCCGCCTTTCGCCGCCACCTCGAGGACTGCTGTCGGCGGTACGCCCTGGCTGAAGACCTCCATCAACAACCACAGCAGCTGAACCTCGAAACGCCCTACCAGGTCACCGAAGTCCCGCTCGACTGCCCCGATGTCCCTCTCCTCTCGAAGCCGCTCTTCAAACGCCTACAATTGGAACGTTTCACCGGTTACCAGCTGCCGCTGATCACCGAGCTCGGCCTCGATTCAATGCTCGAGGAGGCTCTAACTGCTACCTACCAGCAAATCGCCCGGCCCATCAACTCGCTCTTTCTGGGAGAGGTCCGCCGGCGGTACCTCCGCCTCCTCCGCTACTACACCGACTTTTTCCTGCTGCAGAAGGTGGAGCACCTCCTCCAGTACGTCTACCGCCTTTTTCCGCTGATCAGGGAGACCTCGGTTGAGGGAGAGGAGGGCAGCAGCAGCCTGGACGCCTTCGCCAGCCAGCTCGAGGCGATCCACCGCCGAGCGGGCAGTGTCGACTCGTCGCTGCCCGCCGACTTTGCCCCGGTGATGGCCTTCTTCCGGCCCAGCTTCACCGCGGCCATTGCCGAGCGGGCCATGGAGGAGGCGTGCGCCGCTGAGGGGGGCTCACCACACACCGCCCACCTCCAGCTCTTTGCCAGTCTCTTCTTTGTGCCCTCATTTGGCCGTCCCACTGCCGTTTCCTCCTCTTCTAGCAAAGAGGGTGAAGACGAAGAGAACTTCTACGACTTCTGGCCCCTGCAGCGGCTCTTCAACGCCGACGTCAGCCTCCTCTTCAACCGCCTGCTGCAGTTTCTGCTCAAGCTGCGCTACAGTCAGTACCAGCTCGGGGTCGAGTTCTTCCACTCGATGCGGGCGGCGGGAAAGCTGCAGAGCAGCAGCAGTCTGAACGTCATCAACAGCAGCAGCAGCAGCAGCAGCCTGATGAACCTCACTGCTGAAGTCATCGACCAAACGAGCCACCACCACCTGCAGCTGACGCGGGCGCACTACCTCGGTCGCCACCGCCTGGTCACCGCCGTGGCCAACATTGGCCTCAGCCTCGAGTGCCGCCTGAAGGAGGTGGTGGGCAGGGTGGAGGCGGCCATCGAGGGCGCCGCCTCCTTTGACGCCCTCCTCACCGCCCACCAGGCCTTTCTCCGCCAGGTGACGCAGCTGGCGGAGGTGGGCGAGCGCGAGGAGGGGTTCTTTGCCAGCACCATCGCCGCGACGGCCAAGTTCTGCTACCGTGGAGCGGGTGGCAGAAGAGGAGCTGGTGGTGGTGGCCAGAAGGGTCACCGATTCAACCGACACCGCCTCTCCTTCTACCAGAACCTCAATGGCAACAATAGTGGACGGGCGATGAACCAGGACGAGTACTTTGACTCGGTGCAGCTGTGATTTCGAAATCCCTTTCGAGAATTCCCTCTTCTTCATCTTCTTTCCTCTATTTACACCCGTGCCGCTCTTCTTGTCAGAAACGGAGCACGTGCTTCTGCCACCACTGTTGTTTCTGTTTACCTCTGCGGCGGTTTTTTAATCTTTTTCTGTGATTGAGTTTCTCCTCCGATATCATCAAGAAGTAATTCTTTGTTGCCCCCTTCTAAAATTAAATTGTTGAACAATGGACACTGCTGAAGTTGTGCCTGCTGTAACCGATGATAAGGTCGAGGTTAAAGAGGAGGAAGAAGAACAGCAAGAGGATCAGACTGTGAAAGTCGAAGAGAAAGAAGCTGAAAAAACTGACACCTCTACCGATCCTCTCTTCTCCTACCTCAAACGCGGCTACACCTCGGAGATCTACAAGATTGAGCTGCGAAATCTGCCCAAGTACATCGACCACGGGGTAAGCGGAAAAAGCTTCATTTTGTTTATAAAACTCATCACTTTTTTTCGATTGCAGCAATTCCACACCTTCCTCCGCAAGCAGGGCATCAAGTTCAACAAGGCAAAGGTGATTGCGCCGAAGGCTTTCAAGGGCGAGAAAAACTCGCACGCCTACGTTTCGCTTCGATCTGAGGAGGCGAAAGCCGAAGCGATCGCCAAGCTGAGCGGCTTTCGCTTTAGAGGCTGTGAAATTAGCGTCAGCGAAGCGGAGCCGCTTCCTGATCCGCTGGAGCTGAAGCGAAGGGAGAGTGAGCAGAACAAGGACAACAATGGAGGAAATCCTTCAGAAGAGGGCCCGAGAAAAAGGGCCAAACATTCTCATTCATCAGTCGCTGCGAACATCGACGACAACTTCGACGACCTGCCGGCGGAGCGTCGCGACGAGCTGATCAACAATCAGGTCGCCTCCTTCTGGAACGTCCCCTACGAGGAGCAGCTGAAGACGAAGGCGGCCCTTCTGGAGCGGGTCCTCAACCGGGACGTCTTCTACGAGCTGCTCAAGGCGGTGAAGTCGCTGCCGAGGGACGCCGCCGAGCAGCGGGCCCCGGTGGAGCGGGCAATGGCCTTCTTCAAGCACCTTCAGCTGAAGGGGAAGAAGGAAGGAGAGGGAGAGGGGGAGGGAGCAGAATCGGCGGGG